ACCGGTGGAATCCAAGCGGACTCATCAATATCCGAGTGACTCAATGGAATCGGTTCTGAAAATGAGGGAGGCAACATAGTTGAGGTGGAGCTGAACGTCAGAGAAGTCGAAGCTGATGCCGGAGAGTACGTGGATAACATAGTTACGGCAGAAGGCGCATCTATGCTGACGGGCGCTGCCATGTCGTGAGCCGCTGCCGTCGTGAACGGTGCGCTAGGGTGATCGGCTGTGGCGGAAGTTGATGCCATGAGGTTTGGAAAAAAAATTAGGGTATAATTAAGGCTCTGATACCATGTGAGAATAATAAACAGACTTAACCGGACCGGTAGCCCTGAGAGTCTATTAATAGAGAAATAAGTTGTTTAATACAATTAGGATACTAACTAATAACTAATTCTAATTATTCTACACTATTAATATTCACCCCCTCCTTTGATGTTCAAAGGAGAGCAGGGTGAACATCACCCCACCCTACATGAATGTCATGTGGTAAGGCAATTGTTATAATTTGGCAATTGTTTTAATTATTTCTTTTTTTATTCAATTTTTTTAAAAAATATATCAATATTTCATTGTGTATTATCTTTCATATGATATCAATATTGCATATGAATTTTTTTAAAACAAATCAACTAAAAATAAATACTTAGAAATAAATAATTATTTTTTCAATTTTTTATACAATATTGATACCATTGGAAAGATATTAAAAAGTTATTAAATCCGATATATTTTTTAACAAATATTAAATCATAAATAAAAAATTATAACAATTTAAAGAAAACAATGCCTTTTCATTTGATCACTCACACACACATGATTACATGTGTGAAATTATGAAAGATACGAGAATAAATAGTTGGCATATTGGCATCAATTTTTAAATTTGATCAAATTGGGTGGTGTTATTGTAAGGTTCAAATTAAAAGTGCTCTTACGGTCTTAATTACAAAATGCAAAAGCTTAAGGTACATTGGATTTACAGATCTAATGGCCGAAAAACGTGGTGCATTTTGGTACATGAATCAAAATTTTGTGGATGCAACGTTAATATGTAAGTGTTTATTTTATCAGATGATAATATGCAACACTTGAAACATCAATATGTAATCAGGGACTAGGTAGTTAACTCGCTAATCGGTAGAACCTCAGTCAAGGGCCGAGTAGCGAGTAGGACCGATTACTTGGATTACTCGGTGATTACTCGGTCCGGTATTAATTAAATTTAATAAGAGCTGCTCAAGATGATAGAAATATAATAGTCTTAAAATTGTCTTTTAGAATATATAGAAATGAGTAAAATGATAAAAATCCTAATGATGAAGTAGCAAAAGCCATAAACATTCAAAATTACTCCAAATAAGACTAAAACTATGCCAAAATCTCTAAATACGATTTACTATGTTTTTCTTTTTAAAATAGGATGATATTAGTCCTATTGGAAACATACCTATTTTTTCATTCCATTCTTACTCTTCCTTTAAATATGAGTTAATAAAATGTTTAATTCATAATAAATTCGAAAAAAATAAAAAATTCGGAGAAAAATATTTAAAAAATTTATAAAATATTTATAAAATGAAAAATTATAAAATATTTTTTTTTAATTTTTTTTTAAATTAATAAAAAATCGTAAAACTCCATAAAAAAAATTAAAAAAAAAGTGGATGCATTTCCCACCGCCTGTACTATCTCCCAGCATCACCATCTTCGGTCGGTGGAAAAAATGTCATTTTTCCTAAAAACCGCCATTTTTTCTGAAAATGCCAAAAACGTGGCATATTTCTCTTTAAGAATGCCAACATTTTCATTGTTTTCTGCCATAAATATGGCATTCGTAATGAATTTGGTATTTTTTTCCCCTGGTGGCTGGAGGTGGTGGTGCAGAGGTGGCAGAGGCGGCAGTGATTTTTTTTTTGAGTTTTTTATTTTTTAAGAATGCCAACTTTGTATCGTAGATTTTCAAATTTTATAAGGGACCGGGTAAGTCTGAGTAACTCGTCGAGTTGAGAACTTCACGGAGTTGAGAAACTCGCTGAGTAATTCAGAAATAATATACGGACCGAGTCAAGTAGCTAATCGACAAGCTCACCACCTGAGTTGCGAGTACTCGCCGATTACTCACCGAGTAGATAACTGAGATCAGGAGCGTAACCAGGATCGAAGGTTGTAGTGGGCAGGTACAGAGTATTTTTTCATATAATTTTTTACATATAAATTTATACACTAAAAATATAAAGAATTTTCAAATATAAGGTGGCCCCTACCTCCGCCCTCGTATGTAATGCAAGTAGTGTAAAGATGTATTGTAAAAATTTGGCAAGATAATGCACCTTGTACCAGATCCGCCTATATATATACACAAATATTTCAATCAAGTATTACTTGATAATTTAATTGTGTAAGACTGTTGTTTGTTCACCTCATTTTGAGATGGTTTTGAGGGTTGAATTTTTTAAATAATGAATTTTTGTGAGCATTTTCTCCATGGAGGGTAAATTGTGTCAACTAAATTTCAGTTAAAAAATCAGTCCGGAAGTCACTTAAATAAATTTTTAAAAATAAGTAATATGTCTATTTTAGTAACATGCCTATTATATTGAATACTAAGTTGAAATTTTTGTACATAATCTAAATTTCATGAAACTCATGCTCACAAAATTTCATCAAAAATCTCCACTAAAAAGCACCTCAAATTGAGGTGGCGAGGCGTTCCGATCAGGTATACTTGACCGAAAGATAACTCTCTCTCTCTCTCTCTCCCATGAACTATATATATATATATATATATATATATATATATATATATATATATATATATATATATAGATATAGATAGATAGATTTTGGTTCAAATAAGAACATGATCTTAGGAGAGAAATGAGAATGAATCTAGACCGTTAGATTTGATTTAAGTGAAATTCAATGTGCATTAGATGAAACTGTAATATGCATTAGGTGAAATTGAAATGTGCAACACAAATGGTATGATACAGTGACATTATGTGAAGCTGAATTGTGCATTAGGTGAAATTGAAATGTGCACTAGGTGAAACTAAAATGTGCAGAATAAAAGGTACGATGTGATGTTATTCTTGTACCTTTTATTCCGCACATTTCAGTTTCACCTAATGTACACTGGAGTTTAAATATTTATTCTGCACATTTCAATATCATCTGATGCACATTTCAGTTTCACCAAGTGCACAATCCAGATCGACATAAAATAATCCAACGGTCCAGATTCGTTCTCATTTCTCTCCTGGGAGTCCGTTCTTACCAGAACCGCTTCCTCTCTCTCTCTCTCTCTCTCTATATATATATATATATATATATATATATATATAATCTCTCACACACACATATATATTGGTTCAAATAAGAACATGATCTTAGGAGAGAAATGAGAATGAATCTGAACTATTAGATTTACTTTAACTGAAATTCACTGTGCAATACATGAAATTGTAATATGCATTAGGTGAAATTGAAATGTTCAGCACAAAGGGTACGGTATAGTGGCATTATGTAAAATTGAATTGTGCATTAGGTGAAATGGAAATGTGCATTAGGTGAAACAGAAATGCAGATTCATTCTCATTTCAGTTTCACCAAATGCACAGGGTACATTTCAGTTTTACCAAATGCACATTTCAGTTCCACATAATACAATCCAACAGTCCAGATTTATTCGCATTTCTCTCCTGAGAGTCCGTTCTTACCGGAACCCTTATATATATATCGGGAAGAGATCAAATAAAAAGAAGTTCTCCCGTGCAAAGTGCAAACAATTGCACTTTTTCAGCACCGCATTAAACTTTTGCGTGTTTCTGTTGCACTTTTTTGCGATGGCAAAAAACTTCATTTTAATTACGAAATTGCCACCGCGTTTTTGATCAAATTAAGTTCACTTTTGGCTCATTTTGAGCCATTAGATCTCGAAATGAACGCACGAGATTAATTCTAACTTTGCATGGGAAGACCTCTTTGTATTTGAACAATATAATATATACAAATACATATATATATATATGTATGTATGTATATATATATGTATGTATATATATATATATATGTATGTATATATATATATATAGGGTTTAGTTCCGGTAAGAACGGACTCTCAGGAGAGAAATGAGAACAAATCTGGACCGTTGGATTGTATTATGTGGAACTGAATTGTGCATTTGGTGAAACTAAAATGTGCATTAGATGATATTGAAATGTGCAGAATAAAAATTTAAACTCAAGTGTGCATTAGATGAAACGCAAATGTCTGAAATAAAATGTACAAAAATAACATCATGTCGTACCTTTTATTCTGTAAATTTCAGTTTTAACTAGTGCACATTTCAATTTCACCTAATGCACAATTCCGCTTCACATAATGCCACTGAGTCGTACCGTTTGTGCTGCACATTTCAATTTCACCTAATGCACATTACGGTTTCATCTAATGCACATTGAATTTTACTTAAAGTAAATCTAACGGTCCAGATTCATTCTCATTTCTCTCTTAAGATCATGTTCATATATATATATATATATATATATATATATATATATATATATATATATATATATATATATATATATATATATATATATATATATATATATATATATATATATATATAATCTCTCACACACACATATATATTGGTTCAAATAAGAACATGATCTTAGGAGAGAAATGAGAATGAATCTGAACTATTAGATTTGCTTTAACTGAAATTCTATACAGAGAGAGAGAGAGAGATAGAGACAGAGAGAGAGAAAAGATCAGGTAAGAAGTCCTCCTTAGATGAGAGTGAGAAGTAATCTCAGCCCTTGGATTTGCATCTAATCTTACAACGCATCAAACTTATAGACTGAATATAGGAACTTATAACCAATAAATCATAACTTATAAAGCTCTCCATCTTAATTACGGAAATGTCACCATGTCAAAAAAAATTCCAGGTTTTTGGAGTTATTTTGACGCGGTGGCATTATTGTAATTATTTTCGAGGGGGTCTATAAGTTATGATTTATTGGTTAAAAGTTTGTATTTTTAGCTTATAAGTTAGACTTCGCAGTTCTCAGGGGGTGTTTGGAACCGATTCTGATTCTGCTTCTTTTTTAAAGAAAAAGCAGAATCAGAATCAGTTTTCAGAAGCTGGTCACCCCCAGCCTCTAAAAAAACTGATTCTAGGAGTAAATTAGAGCACCCGAATCACTTCTGCACTTTTACCTAAACACTCCAACTTCTGCTTCTGCTCCTTCAGCCTAAGAGCATTTCTAACCTGATCCGCTCCCTATACATATAATTATATATATATATATATGGAGGTTCAAATACAAAGTGCATCTTATATGAAAAGTGAGAAGTGATCTTATATGAAAAGTGAAAAGTGAGAAAATGAATGGATCAAATCAATTTTAAAGTGGAAAATTCGGTGCCAATAGTGTAAATATTAGAAAATTCGGTATGAAAGTGTAAATGATAAATAGAAAGTAGTTTGGCTGCTGACTTGAAAGCGAGAGATTTGGAAATATTCAGATTGCTAATAAGCAATTGCGTTCTTGATAGTTTTCCCGATGAAATTGATCATCTTAAATGTGAGATTTCTGTTGCGGATCAGATTGATCGTGGGCTATATTCTTACAAACGAACCAAATTTTGGGAGGATGTCTCTCCTCATCTTAAAAGGATGCAAGATGTTGAAAGAGACATGATCAAGAAATCTGTTGAAGAAATTAAGTGCATAAAAGAGCAAATTGAGTGCATAAAGTTGTTGCCCATAAAAGAAGTGCACCGTGAAGTTGAAGAAGTGGTGGCTAAATTTTTCCCCATCATTGAGGGCAAGGACAAAGAGTGTGAGGACATGGATAGCATTCTCGGAAATCTAATAAGTGATATCCAAGATACATGTCTTCATATGATAAGAATTCGGAAAAAGTTCAGGCAAAAATGTCCTACGCTAACATTGAAAAGGAAACTTAAAATGCACAATTTGACTGGGTTAAAGAGAACTCTGGATTCATTGGAGGGGCTGGCCTGTTCATTCAATGATAGATGGAAGCACTACGCCCCCTTATTTACTCCTTTTTATGCAATTGGAGTGAAAAAGGCAACTAATCGATGAAGGGGAGATTAGATCAGCATTTCTTGTTCATGTCAATTCTCTCAGTATTGGGATCTGGAGTTGGCATCGTATCCAGTATGGCCCTTCAACGTTTTATGATGTTCCATAAACTCCTGTTATCTTCTCAGTGTACGGAAATTCGTTTTGATGAGTTATGAGGTACTATATTCATGGCGCTGCCTAGTTTCAGTAGGGCTATTTCTACTGTTTTGTGTACTTGCATCATGTTAAGATTATATTGACTTGCATCGTAATGCATTAGTAATCATTAATTAATTATCTTAATTTATTTTTGTGAAAAAGGTTTCAGATGAGCCATGTCTGGGCAAAGTTATCCAACCCTTATACAATGTAGTTTGATGCATGAAACCTCATCATTATATATATATATATATATATATATATATATATATATATATATATATATATATATATATATATAGGGAAGAGTTCAAATGAAAAGTGGTCTTCCCGTGCAAAGTGCAAAGTTTTCACTTTTTCATGTTTCACTTGCATTTTTTCTTATTTGTGTTGCACTTTTTGGCCATTTTGATTTTGGCCAAATTCGGCCAAAATGACGGTGGCAGTTTTGTAAATAAACCAATTTTTTTGAGCTACCGCGAAAAAGCGCAACGAAAGCAAGCAAAAGTGCAAGAAAAACATGAAAAAGTGGAAACTTTGCACTTTGCACGTTAAGACCACTTTTTATTTGAACCATCCCCTATATATATATATATATATATATATATATATATATATATATATATATATATATATATATGTTTTGTTTCAAATAAAAATATGATATTAGGAGAGAAATGAGAACGAATCTGGACCGTTAGATTTGCTTTAAGTGAAATTCAATGTGCATTAGATGAAACTGTAATGTGCATTAGGTGAAATTGAAATGTGCAACACAAAGCGTATGATACAATGTCATTAAGTGAAGTTGCATTGTGCATTAGGTGAAATTGAAATGTGCACTAGGTGAAACTGAAATGTGCAGAATAAAAGGTACGATGTGATGTTATTTATATACATTTTATTCCGCACATTTCACTTTCACCTAATGCACAATTGAGTTTAAATTTTTATTCTGCACATTTCAGTATCATGTAATACACATTTCAGTTCAATCAGATGCACATTTCCGTTCCACATAATACAATCCAACGGTCCAGATTCGTTCTTATTTCTCTCCTGGGAGTCCAATCTTACCGGAAGAACTGTGAAGTTTAACTTATAGACTAAAAACACGAACTTTTAACTAATAAATCATAACTTATAGACCTCCTCTAAAATATATACGAAAATGCCACCGCAAAAAATAACTCTAGAAACCTTCAAAAAAAAATTGACGTGGTGGCATTTCCGTGATTATGATGGAGAGCTTTATAAGTTATGATTTATTGGTTATAAGTTCCTATATTCAGTCTATAAGTTTACCAAGGGCGTAAGATTAGATGAAAATCCAAGGGCTGAGATTACTTCTCACTTCTCATTTTAAGGGGAACTTCTCACCTGATCTTCTCTCTCTCTCTCTATATATATATATATCTATATCTATATATATATATATATGTGTGTGTGTGTGTGTGTGTGTGTGTGTGTGTGTGTGTGTGTGTACACATAGGTTTTGGTTCAAATAAGAACATGATCTTAGGAGAGAAATGAGAATGAATTTGGACTGTTAGATTTGCTTTAAGTGAAATTCAATGTGCACTAGATGAAACTGTAATGTGCATTAGGTGAAAATAAATTGTGCAGCACAAATGATGAAACTGAAATGCGTATTACATGATACTGAAATGTGCAGAATAAAAATTTAAACTCAATTGTGCATTCGGTGAAACTGAAATGTGCGTATTACATGATACTGAATAATTTTTTTTTTGCTTTTTATCCCGGAAGGCAAACCACCAAAATCAGTGGGGTAAATGTCGGGATTCAGATACCAGAATTTTATTAAAAGAGAGATAGATACAAAAATGAGGGGGACTAGGCCAAGACCTCATCAGAAGGAATAAACAAATATAAATAAATGTAGCAGTCTAATTAAAACGAAAAGAGGCTAATCCAAAAAGATCCATATAGTAAGCCCGTTTAACCATCTGGGGCAGATCACCCATATTCGAAAATTCCTGCATTGGGCCCGAATGGAGATGGGCCAGAAGATGGACTACCCCGTTAACCTCCCTAAATGCGTGGTGCAATGTAATCCCTTTCCTGATCAGCGTATGTAGAGTTGCCTGAATAATATCTTTCCACCTTCTCGCATCAGGATCCAGGAGAAAGCTAATCGCCATCACTGAGTCTGATTCCACTTCAAAATCGCTATATCCAGCTCCGGTCGCCCAACTTATAGCTCGGCAGATGGTTTTTAACTCCGCTTCAAGTGTTGAGGAAGCCTCCACGTTAAAGCTAACTGCACGAAGAAGATGACCCGTTTGATTTCTCAAAATTGCTCCCCCCCGCCGCTGAGCCGGATAAGTATCTAACATCCGTGTTTAGCTTCATCAAACCTTTCGGTTTATTCCATTTTAGAATCTGTAGATTATAGTTTTTGCAGTTGAAATCCTTTCGAATTAGATGCTCTTCGTACAAAATTTTGTCAACAGAGTGAATTTGTTGACTTGTTGGACCTATTGGTAATAGTAAAGTAGTTATTTTGTATCTTTGTTTAATTTGTTATTGTATTTAGAAAAGTGTTAGCTACTCTTGATTGTACTGATGTTATTACTGTATCTGCACTTCAAAAGGCAAGAAGAATATGCCAATAGGGTTTTACACATACAAGTTTGCGATGTATTTTGCCAATGTTTGTACTATTCCATTTAAAACTTATCCTTTCGAATATTAAAAATATTATAGCGTACACTTCGATTTTTTTCTATATGTTGTATTTTTAGTTCAATTTATCTCTTTTCGATATGATTTTTGCGGCGTAAGTTTTTCTTGTCTAGGGCCTCTGAAATGCTGAAGTCGCCTCTGATTCCAATTTTAAACTCATCAAGCGACAAATTACTAGCAAATTCAAGTATTCTAATATCTTCATTAATCTCGAAATCATCTCAACAAATGTCCCACATCTTATTAAGACCTATGGAAATTTCCCAATACAAGAGTAAGCATAAGCATAATTGTACAAATAGGTGTAAAACTTAAAACTTCCTTTAATAGGAGTAAACATTAATTTTCTACCTTTAATACCCCTAACTAATTAATTCTAATATATGACTTATTTGATCCTATTAAAATATTAAAAAATCTAAAATATTTTTAAAAAATATTAAAATAATAAAAATTTTAAAAAATATTTTTAAAAAAATAGAAAACTTTAAAAATAAATAAATAATAGATAAAACACATTAAAAAAAATATGCAGGCCTTTTCTGCAGCCTCGGCAATCACCCAGCAATGTCACCTTTGATCGATGAAAAAAATGCTATTTTATGTAAAAAAAATACAATTTTTCTTGAAAATGCTATAAAGATGGCAGTTTTATTCTTTGAAAATGCCAAACTTTCTCAAAAAATGCCATCATGATGGCATTTTGGACAAATGTTGGCATTTTTTCGGTGGTCGGAGCTTGTGGTGTTGGGAGGTTGTTGAGGCGGCAATAGACCCCTGCATTTTTTTTTTTTTAATTTTTTAATTTTTTAATTTTAATTTTTTAGTGTTTTATTTAGTATTTTTTATTTTAATAATTTTTATTTTTATTAATTTTATTTAATACGGAGTATATTTTATTAAATATATATTTTTTTTTACAATTTTTATTTTAAATTAATTAATGTTATTTCTTTTATGTTTTAATTATTAATGAAAGTTGTTGGGGTTTGGATAGGGTATATTTGTCCCAACACAAAAGTTACTCCAATTCAAAAAGTGGTGCTCCTATTTTTGCATTTTGTCTATGTTTTATTCCTTATCGCATATCATTATTGCCCCAACAAAACGTTATTTCAAGCAAACAACCTCCTAGTTTTCTCTCTAACAAATTTATACTAGGTACAAGATAATTTATTTTTTCTCACCACTTTTCTATTCGCATTTTCTCTTCTCCCAAAGTATATTCAACTAAAAGAAGTGTAATTTATTTTAGCTTGTGTTTAGAATGTTGATTGGACTTAATTAGGATTTATGAGGTCTTTAATTCAGAGGTGGAAGTCGTTAGATATGAGTTCCGAATAATTTTGGTCCCTCTCTTGAAGGCGATTTGACCTAAATAGGTGTCGTTAGTTTTACATCATTCATTGTTAATGGTGTTAATTACTTTTGACTTTGATGTTTCTCATAACCATTCAACAAATTCATAATTGTTTGTAGAATAATTCCTACAAAATTGAATGTCTAGATTTCGTATCCTGATGCATATCTCATGTGTTTCTATTCGGCCTTTCGTTTATGCATACGGATCAATGAAAATCTTAAGGCATTAAAAACATGATAATTACCTCTTTTTCCAGAAAAATTAGTTAAATACCTCTAGTTAGGTATACTCGTATTTTTTTATGGTAGGAAGCTTATACTAAACCACTTTCAATTCGAAGATATACAATCAAGCAAAAATTCATGACACAATCACTATCCTTAGGATCAAACACAGTGACGATCGAACTTGTCTCCTTTGTCACACTGGTCTTGATCTGGACCTGAAACCTGAAACTTTTTAAAATAACAGGGCAATATCTGTCTAAAACAACTAAACTAGAGCTACTAGGGAAACTAAAACACAGCCAAACATAAGTGTAAATCGAGACATTCAAGAATCGAGACATTGGAAACAATTTTCTAAATTGCATTTACAATTACCACTAGTCCACTACCATTATACATGTGTACACACATGCTATATAGTACAGTTGGTATATTATACACCCGGATGTATATAGGGCATCGTACATCCGGCCATCAGAAGTATTATAATGGACTGGAGCACAAAAAGACTACAATAAACGGTCCAAAATTAAAACACGTCAAAAAATCACGGCTTCCGCTAAATGAGCAATATTGTTCTTTTAATGAGCATCAGACCTATTTTATTGAGTATTTATGAGACTAACAATGAGTATCACGATCCCTGCTTCATATCTTCTAATTCTTTTTTCTTTTTCTTATTTTTTTCTTTTATAAAAGCTTATTAAATTATATCTATAATACACTCCTATTAATTTCAATATGAGAGTCTAATGTAATAAGATACTTTTGAAATATGCATTGATATTACAATTCAAAAATGAGCATAACATCAGTACCAAATGAGCATACATAACTTACAAAGTGCACATTGATATGAAAATCGTAACGTTTGTTAGTGGAACATCACGGCATTTTAATTGAGTATCAAAACTCCGGTATTGACATGAAAATCACGATTTCTGGTGAATGAGTATTAATGAACTTTTAATGAGCAACAAACCTATTATGTTGAGTATTAGTAGTCTAATATTCAGAATATGTTCAATATTAGGAGTGTAATATTCAGAATCGTGATCTCTGCTTCATAACTTCTAATTCACTTTGTTTTTGTTATTTTTTCTTTTAAAAAACTTATTACATGATATTTATAATCAACTCCTATGAATTTCAATATGTGAATTTAATGTAGAATAGTACTTTTAAAAATGTATTAATATGACATTTACAAAATGAGCACATGATCACTACCAGATGAGCATATGTAACTTGCAAAGTGCGCATTGATGTGAAAATCGTAAGGTTTGTTAGTTGAACATCACAACATTTTCATGGAGAATCAAACCTCATCGATTGAGATCGATGAAAATCACGATTTCTGTTAAATGCGCATTAATGAATTTTTAATGAGCATCCGACCTATACAAATGATCATATGTAACTTACAAGATGAGCATTGATATGAAAATTGTAAGTTTTGTTCATTGAGCATCAAGACATTTTTAGTGGGCATCGAACCTCCGTTATTGAGTATTAGAATCATGCTATTGAGTATCATGATTTCTGGTCTCATATCTATAATAAAATTCTATGTGAATCTAATGTAATATGAGACTTTGAAATATGCATTTGATATAACATTTTGAAATGAGCATACATAACTTACAAAATGAGTTTTCAAAAATTCAAAAGCTAATTTATGTATGTTCGTTCTTTTTAAACGCTTTACTTATTTGAGTTTAAAGTAACGCTCATTTCTAATGTGCTCAGTATTAATATATAAAGAAAAAGAAAGAAGGAAACAAGAAAAGAAAGAAACGAAAAAATAAATGAAAAAAGATAAAAGAAAAGAAAGTAAACTAAAGAGAATAAAATAAAACACAAATAAAATAAAATAAAAAATATAAAACACAAAATGTAAAACAACTAGCACTAAAGACCAAAGAAAATGGCGGCTGGAAAAAAAAAGAGAAAAGGAACGGGCGGTTGAAAAAGAAATAAAAGGATGGGGAGGGAGGATGACGCCAGAAGAAAGAAAATCATCGGACATAAATCAGGAATAAGAGAATCAAAAGTAGGGATGGACTCGGGCCGGGTGTCCCGACCCGGAACCGGCCCGGGACCGGTACTGTTCCGGCCCGGTCAGTGACCGGTCCGGGTAGGCCCGGCCTGTGGGTTTTCCGGTCCGGTTCGGGCCAAAAACTATTTTTTTTCAATTGTTTTTAAATTTTCTGGTTGGGCTGGATATTTTGGACCATTTGGGGTGGTTTGGGGGGTTGGGGGTGGGAGGGGGGTTAATTAGGAAGAGGAAAACAAAAAAAAATATAATGGGCCCGGCCCGGCTAGGCCCGGACCCGGACCGGACCCGGTGGTTACCCGGGCCAGTCCTGGGTCCACCATTTCTGACCCGCCGGCCCGCCCAGGCCTAGACCCGACCCGGACCCGGCCCAGACCCGAGTCCATTCATAATCAAAAGGCTTAAAGTTGCAGGAAATTACAAATGTACCGGGTGTACGTGTACACCCAGGTGTACCATATAATTTGCGCTATATAGTATGCAACACACACCTCACGTTATTAGAATATTATATTTGTATTTTATTTTACTTTTTACTTTTTTAAGAATAATACTAATAATAACAGTGAGACTACTTATAATGATATTGCTTATGATTATAATTACATTTTTGTTTACAAATACTATCTTATTTTGCAATAATAGTAAAATAGATACAAAAAAGGGGGAAATTAGAGGGTAAATTAGACTCTTGGAATCTTGTATAATAAAAAATGATATACAAAATCTACTCATATGAAACACTTGTTTTATCTTTTTGATATCACAAACCAAAAAACCATTGTCAAGCACGAAGAATATTTTAGCCATGCATGTCAAACAATTAAAGTAACCCAAAAAAGCTCATTAGTCGACTACCAAACACTGTTAAGATCTAATCGACACAACAAAAATGGAAAGAATAAAGTTTCTAAATCTGTTAAGATCACTATGACAAAACATCTGATCTTTAAATAATTTGTTTTACAATGAAAAACAAATAATATAACCTCTTGCCCATTAATGGTACTGTAAAATACTGAAATTTCAATAAAATTATCATGAAGGTTATATTATTATAATTGAACGATAGAGAAAGTTGTTATTCAATCTATTCAAGTTGACAGCTGCAAGTGAAAAAGAATTGTCACAAGAAGTAACCACAAATGAAAAAAAAAACTTGACCTCGAATGATATGGATGAACCAAATCCATTATATCCTATAATTGACAAATTGACAGATAAAAGTTGCATAATAATAATTATTGTATGTGTTAAAGAGAGATAATAATGTATGGCTTGTATATAATTATAATTATTACTCAAGTCAAAATTATTCACGGCATTGCTGGTAAGAGCTGACCTTAAACTTTGTCAAAATCAATAAATAGGAACATCTTTAATCTCAAGAGACATTTAATTCATTTGACTAGTGGATGTGAGAGTCTCTTGCAGCTTCATGGTAGGCACGACAACTACCAAAGTCCCATCACTAAGAAAATCCAATAAACAAACAGATTCCAAGATGCTGACTTTGCATGACCTCTATAACACATCTCATTCACACCAAATCTTCTCCACATTACAAATCACCCACAAACTCTCGACCCTATATATATTTAAGCGAAGTTAAGAGAGATACACTCACAGACCCCAAACAAACACAAAGTTTGTTCAGTAATCAAAAGCTAAGGATAGAGATGGCGACAAAGATTATGCGTATACACACAAAGATGCGCGAGGGGTTCTGCGTGAGCCGCCGCGCTGTGGCCCACGTCTGCGCTCGATCGCCCATTCACACATACAAGAAGTCGGGCAGCCTGATACGGTCGTATGAGAGAGGCGAGTTTTCCAGTAAAAGCAGCACTGAGATGAGCAGCTTCAACAGTGATGAAGGGAAGACAAAACATGAATCTGCATGCGGGACTAACCGAGTCATGGTCGTGGTTGATCATAGCCTTGAAGCCAAACATGCCCTGCAATGGGCACTTTCCCACACTGTTCAAAGCCAGGACGCCATCATACTTATTCATGTAACCAAGCCATCAAAACAAGGTGAGTTCTTCTTCCTCTGTCCTTACGAAACATAGATTACCTAACACCTTAATCCCAACAATGTTTGTGTCAATCGAATATCTAAAAGAATAGTTGCTGCTCAGTCCTTAGTTGTTTGACATTATATATCTTGAGGCTTGCTGCCTTTTCATTTTTGTAAATTATTACAAAACAAATGTTCAGTATTAAGGTTTTCTCCGCAGTACAGAATGTGGACATAACCATAATACTTTTTGCGTGTCACTGATCTTTCTGATTGTTATCTAAATTTTACAATCAAGGGGACAAAACTTAAAAATTGAAGGATAGGTCCCAAGAGCCAAATGATAAGGAACTAAAAGTGTGATTTCCTATATTTATAGATTAGTTAACAACTAAAGATCATGCAAGAAAAACATACTGCAAAGTTCTATGACGGTTTCTTGTCACAACATTCTTTGGAAGGAATACTGTGATAAATTCCAAACCCGTCATAATCATAAGTTTTTCACACTTTCATGGAAATTATCTTAAAAGGATGAGATGATATAGTAACCCTAACATAACATAGATACTGTAGCTTATATTTCTTATTTATTAACTGAACAGGTGGAAATACCAGAAACGAATCCAATCAAAGACCATATCAACTTATTTCCTCGATGAAAAACATGTGTCAGACAAGAAGACCCGGGGTACGTATGAAGTCTCGTTATAGCAAAAAAAAAAACACTTGTGCATACACATTGCTTTACATTTTCGGAATAACAAGTCTATTAACTTACCATTTAGATCTTATAGTTTACCTACTCATATTCATTCACCTATACATTTCTTGGCTTCCTAGAAAAGAGACAATTCAGTTTAATACTGGTTCATTCCTTACTCCTTGTGCATGTTGTGAATCAGAAAGAAAACTGGGAAATGCATCATCATTAAAGATTTATGCAAATATAAGGTGCTAAATTGTATGAAATCATGAAATAGGTAAAAGTGGAGATATTATTGCAAGAAGGAAAAGAAAAAGAGCACGTGATTGTTGAAGCAGCAAAGGAAGAAAAGGTCTCTCTCCTGGTCTTGGGTCAAAGAAAGAGGTCAACAATGTGGCGCCTGCATTCCATGTGGTCAGGGAAAAGAGTGAATCCTAAGGTTGTGAATTACTGCATTCAGAATGCAAGTTGTATGACCGTAGCAGTGAGGAGAAAAAGCAGGAAATATGGAGGCTACTTGATTACCACAAAGTGTCACAAGGACTTCTGGCTGTTGGCTTAGAATTTAAAAAACCACTTCCATAAACTCAATTTCCCCAGCATCCCGATTCTGGATTGCATTGGAGAGAAATACAGTTACACTGTTTGCAAAACATGTAACAAGCTTCAATTGTCATGAAAAACTAGAATAGATTCATGAATGTACAAATTGTAACAGACGTTTTCTACATATTGAAGCTTTTAGAAAAAAGCAGAGCCAAATTTGTCCCATACAACAAATGAATCAACACATACACTTGGTTGCTATTATTCACATATAACCTATTACTATGGAAAGAAAAGTAGCAAACTTGTAACTTGTAAGTATATATAGATCCCCTATGGTAGCCTTAGCCGGCTAAAAATGCTAATAATAATAATAGTAGTAGTAGTAGCACTAGTAGTAGTAGTAGTAATAAGTAATTTTTGACTTAATTGGCTGAAATTGATTTTACTAAACAGAAAACATAAGGGATACAACCATTTTAGCCCAATAACCTTTACCAAACGGGCTCATAAGCTTAAAGCATTACTTTTGATGAGCTGTACAGGAAACCGAAACAACACTTTCAACAAATGTGTATCTCTCTGGCTCCATCCTTAAATCCCAAAGAAATGCAATTTGCAGCTCAGCAAAAACAAGACTCCTTCCTTCTGAAGTAAAGAATTTCATGATGCTACAAAACCGTCACCCGAAATTCGGGTTTCCCATTTATTTCTCCTTGCTTCGCATGAATGGATCACAAATCATTGTTTCTTTATAAGAGGTTTGACTAATATTGATATATAATTTCACACATGGCTATGTGAGAAGATTTAAAGTTCTAATGAGTACTATATACAATTCGGTGTAGCTGATCATATGCTACAAGCACTCCAGCACCTGCAACACCATAGAGAATGTTTGCTCTAACTCCACGGAAAAGTGCGGAAACCCCTTCTTGGTGAATGATTTCTTTTACGGCATGAAAGGAGTTATGGTACTTCAGTTTGTGTCCAGAAGTTAGCATCATTCTTCTCCGCAGTGTGTCAAAAGGATAGGCACAGATCCCAGATACAGTAGTCACGCTCCAGCCTAACATGAAATTTGCAAAGAAATTGTCCTGCAAATGCAATATCAAATAAATGGTAAAGAGAGAGAATGATATTTGTACTTCTGTTGTTTGACTTGTTTCCGCAGTAGAAGAGGGTCAGGGGGTGTTCTTCTTTAGAATCAGAACTAGAATAATATCCCTCTCTATTAGTTAGTGATTCTTTTTAACAGCAATGAGTAGTTATTCCTTACCAAAAGAAAATACAAGGAATTTATAGTTAATTGGTTGGATTGCAGGAACAAAATCCTCAGGAATACTTATTATAATGTTCGGTGTGGTTTGGAATGATAAGGGAATGAGCTTTGAAAGTTTGAAAGACCATAATGAGCATAGATTAAGAAGATGAAAGAAGCGAATACACGATTTCCACAAGGACATTATTGTCTGACTAGACAATCTTTTTCATACCTTCCAGTGAAGAGAAAATAATACTGCTAAACTCAGATGACAACACACTCCTTACGGTTGGAGAAGAAATTCTCCTAGGACAAAAAGGTGACATCCCAATCAAGGGGGTTGATTTTTGGGGATTTAAGCAAGAAGTGGATTGTTTTCTCCCATGATTCAAACAGCACGTTGGTGTGTTATTATTTTCTGAAAGAAAGGATGTCTGCTAAATTATGTGTTCTTCATGATCATTTAGCATATAAAACTTATCACATTCCAAACATCAATCCACCACCAAGCTGCATGACGGCCAATTAGCTAGCAGAAAAAAATGGATGACATACTAATCCAGCAAACATATGTTCTAAGAACTATGGGAGGTTCTCACCTGTAAGGGTCCAAATAAAACAACCGGTTTCAGGGAGTCATAGATTCCAAAGTACATTCCTCGATACAAAGTTATACCTATAATTGAAACACCAAATCCCCTATAGAGCCCAATGATGCCATCACTTGATAATGTTTTGCCATAAACATCTACCAGTCCCTTATATTGGCGTCTTCCATTAATGAGGCATTCCCTAGCATCCATTGCGAGCCGAGTTCGTGCATAGTCTAAGTGATAAAGAAATAATGACGTGGTTGCTCCGGCAGCACTTCCTGAGGCTAGATTTCCAGCAAACCACTTTGCATACCCATCTTCTTCTTTCGAACACCCAAAGAGGCTTTTGAAGTAATCTTTGAATGCAAAATTGCTAGCCTATGAAAGAATGTGATATGTGATATAAAAAAACTACAGCTATAAGTATTTTAGCTCCAATAAATTTACGGGGTCTAAATACAAACTGAAGTTAAAACCATTTCCAAAGTAAATAAGGGCCCGTTTGGTAAGTTCCTTAGGGCTAAAGTTGTTGAATCAGCTGAATTTTCTGATAGAGAAATTGTTTGGTAAAATCTATTTCAGCCTAATAAGTAGTGAAAAGATACTTATTTGAAGATAAGCGCAATAAGCCAATTATGGCAACCAAACATAGCCTAAAACTCAATCCACCATCATGATAATCATATATTACTAGAGACATTTTTTCATTGACATTTACATCCAGAAGGACGTTCATTGAATAGATTGTGTCCGTTCACTGTGATCATTTAGGTTTTAAAAGATGCAAAACCAAGACTCAGTTGAGTGACTTAAATCAGTTCCGGTCGGTATTGATGTGATTATTTTCGGACAGTTTCAGCATGTTAAACCAGTTATGGTTGGTCCAAGCAAACAGTAAATGGAACTGCCTTAGGTTTGGTTTTAGTTTCAGTTTTGTTCAGTTTGGTTTTGGTTAGTCTATCAGTCAAAAGAAATTGCTTCAAATAGAAATAAAACATAGACAAAGTGCATAAATAACATTCTTATTACCCCTACTAGCCATTAAAATATAGGCAAATAATATTTTGTGCCCCACTGCTCCATGTTTACTTGGAAATTTGGACATAGCACCCCATGTTTCAGAGTTTAAGGTCCTTTCAGTTTTCAATCCGAAGCACTTCAAAATGGGTTATTTCTCTTAGACTTTGCATCCCCATCATTACATTAATATTTGACTTTACATCCCGCTTTTGGGTACGGTGGCGCCCAAAATCAAACAAAACAAAACATAGGGTGCAACCGTGCAAAGCCGCATTTCCCTTAAAATACTAGGCCCAATCAGAACATTGAAATCCACAGAATAAGTGTGTCATGGGTATGTGACTTTAAAATATCAACAAAATATGTCCCTCTAGAACCATTTAACAAATCAACTTAGGAGATGCTTTCTTACATTAGTTTGCAATTTGGTTACCTGGGTTGGGATGTATCGAATGACATTGGCCAGGTTACCCCTCCAGAAGGACAGAAGACCATCCTCTCTCAAAACTCTATGGAAGCAGTCACCTATACCCATATAAGGTCTTTTTAAATGTCCTGTTTTAATCAACTCACCTTGATTTTGCAGCAAAAGCTTTACTCTTTCTAATGGCGATGCAGCAGTTTTTGCAAAGATGGCTGCTGCTCCTCCCATCAAAAAATTGACAGTAAATCTCTCTGATTGGCCTTCCATCTTCACCAACCCTTTCCTTCTTCACTCCTGCAAGGAAAGAAAGTGCAGGTTCAGGAAAGGAAAGAAAGTAAAAAAAAGAATGTCCAGTGAAAATGTAATGCTGCAAAATGTGATTATTACTTATTAGCCTTCAAAAAACAAGTAGCTATTAAAAGGAATCTTATGTTAGCATAACCAGCTTCTAAATCAGATCAAACTTGAAACCAAAAACCAGACGGAATAGGAAAGAAAGGCTATGAAGAACCAATCCCAATTGAGGTGGAGTGACTATGTTTCAAGATCCTATTAAGAGCACATAACACCCCTATCCCATCTTTTAGCCAAACATTGGCGAACTTTGCTCCTGCAGGCGATGGAAATGATTGAAAAGCCAAACAATGAAGAAGATAATCACCATGATGGATCGCGAGATCGATGGCCAGATTGATTGAATAGCGGGTTGAAGTAACTTGAACCAACATGAATATATGGAGGATAGGAAAAGTAATGTCAAATTATCTAATTTTTAATAAAACTACCGATTTGAGGATTTTTTTTTCCAGCACCGGTAACAGGAAGAGATATACAGCACAAATCAGGATTGATTACAAAGGTTCGCTTTGGTGAATAAAGGAACAGACAGGGGCAGGCCATCACGCCAATAAGCCATGCCACCAAACGTCTACAGCTTGACGTTGATTTCTATTACCAGAACCGAATTAATTATTTATTGGGTAGCTCTTCGGTGCCCTTAACATTATATAATTTGTTTTGGTACCTTGAACAATCTTATTTGACATTTCCATGTAAGCTATTCTTTAAATAAAATCTAAAACTGCATAGCGATCCTCCAACAACCTGATATTCGTCAACCTTAATAGGACAGCAAGAGGCAAATCTTCATCTTCATTCTTCACAGCGATGAAGTTAACCAGGTGATTGTTACGCTATATATCTGACTGGCCCTCGATCATCCATCTCCAAACGCCACTCCCACTTCTATACTTCCACAATATCTTGAAACATGCTTTTTTATGCTATCTATTTGACAATGAAATGTTTTGAATGATTATTTGTTTCGATTTTTTGTATACTCCTTATGTTCTTGTAGGCGGAAATTTTCAGTTATATATTGGGGTTTAAGTTTGTAAAAAGAGTTTTGGACACTTTTAGTCCCCCGAGTATTGTGTTAGTGACACTTTTGGTACACGACTTTAGATTTTTCCATTTTTAGTCCTCAACTATTGTGTGAGAGACACTTTTAGTCCTCTACTTTAAAGTTTTCCACATTTAGTCCTTTGAGTATTATCAAATTGACACTATTAGTCCTTCTACTATGATTTTGACACAATAAGTGGAGGACTAAAAATGTCTCTATTGCAATAGTTGAAGGACTAAAAGTGTCACTTTTACAAAAGTCGAAGGACTAAATACGGAAATTTTTAAAGATGGATACCAAAAGTGTCTCTCGCACTATAGTCGAGGACTAAAAATGGAAAAATTAAAAGTCAAGTACCAAAAGTGTCACTGACACAATAGTCTCATTGAGTTTTTAAGTTTTAAATTTTTTCCAACTTTCAGCCTTATGTAAATGTCATTAATTAAGGCTAAACATGCTGTTATTTTTGGGAGTGCGTTTGGTCATGGTAATTAGGAAAAAGCTATTTGTACACATAAGTTCTACACATTTTGTGTACACACCCTTAATTGCTTGTGTATGCGGGCAACTCGTTCAGAAACTGCTTGTATACTACATTTTATATGTAGAAGTAGCACAACCCTAATAATTGATCCTCCTTGTAGAGCATGGAAGAAGCTAAGGGCATGTTAGCCTATTGGTTTGATAGATTTTATGAGGAGAATAACACTCTTCACAATTCCAAGTCTGTCAAGGAATTTTAGGAAGCTCTTGAAGCTAGTATCATTCTTCTCTTTGATCCATTATCTATTTTATTTGTAATTATTTTCACTTTTTGAAGCGGCTTGAAAATTTTACCCCAAGTTGATTTATGATCATGAATAATTTATCAAAGATAATTTTGTAGTCTATTTAGGCTATGTTTGTTAGACCATTTCAGCCAATAATTGGCTGAAATATTTAAAATTCAGTCCACTTCAATTAGTGTAGACTTGTTAGGTTGAAGGATTGAAATGGGCTTGAAGTGGAATTATTAGGCTGAAATGAAACGTTAGAGAGAGAAACGTTTATATTCAGCCGCTACTTTCCAGACTTTCCATTCCGAATGTATCCTTTGTTCACGGCATATTTGCATGACCTCTTCCACAATCGGTCGCTTCTCTCTGGTTTCTCTATTTGCTATATACGGAGTAGAAAATTAGGGGAAAAGACTATGACAAAAGCAGGCGACCTTATATGGTTATAGCCGATTGGATTTCGTCGAGCAAGTTGCCGTCTTCTTAAAAAATACTTACCAAAAAGAAGAAGACAATCGTCATCTTCTGTGCAGCGGCTGTTGTATAGTGACCCGGTGAAATTCGAACCTTATGAAACAAAGAGAAGTTTTTGGAAAAGGGAGCTGCTAATTCAATCAATTGAATCTAATGTTTTGTTCATCTTCTTCAAGAGCTACTTCTAATTCAATCAATTCCAAAAGAGAGGTCTAAACGTTTAGGAGAAACAATGGTCATGAGTATTATTTCAAATATAAAAATCATTATATTAAATATTTTATTCAATTAATAAATCATATGCCCTTTAATGTAATTTCATATTATCCGGATAATTATTCAGCTCTTTATGCCAAACGGGTCTACTCCAATCGCTAGCAATTCAGATTCAGCATATCAAAATTCAGCTTCAGACAATAATATTTGATTCAGACAACAGTCCTTAATTCAGACATTAGCCCCCACTTGTTGCTCGTTGTGCCAAACATAGCCTTAGACTCTAGAGTTCATCCCAAGTAGACCATCTAATCACATTCAATCCATTGGTTCAATAACTAGCTTTTATATTTTTTCTTTATTCTTCATGGCAATAACTAGCTCATTTTCCAACAATTGATGTACATGTAACATTTCTTTTATATTTTCATGTTTTTCTACATTTAAAATATTGTAATTTTGATTAATGTGAGCGTTAGAGTTTAAGTTTGCAAACAAAGGCTCGGGATGAACTTCTACGCCAACTATCTTGTTGTATTTCTTCTAAGTCAAGTTTTATGATTTATTCTTATGAAGTTTAACTTTTTATATATGTTATGCAAATCTTTAAAAAAATGTCATGCAACATAACTAATAACTTTATAACATATATAATGATACGGAGTAATTATTATTGAAATATCAATTGGACACTAGAAAAGTAATTTACATTTTACTCTCCTTAGAGCAAATACTATACAACTATGTTGCATAACATCTAAAGGTTTATATGGTCAACGAAAGATGCAATAGATGGTTCTCTAGAAAAATAAACATACAAAGTATTGAGGATAGAAATATGCTCGATCTTGTATGGTATGTGTGTGGTATCTTTATGTGAGTCATAACAAGACTCACAAGTAGGGAAAACCACGCTCTTCATGCTTTAATTAACCGGAGTTAGGAATATTGATGGTACCATGGATTCTGACCATGGCCCAATTGCGTGGTCTAGCCCATGACGGGATCTGTAACGCCTCAAAATCCAGTCTAGTTGTTAAGTTACATATAAATATAATCTCAAATATTGTCCTAAATTAATCATTCATCTTATTTAATATTAAAGCTAAAATTCAATACAATTTTTAAATTTGCAAAGAATAGTAACGTGGAATGAAAATTAAATCAAAAATTTACTTTTGACCTTTAAGCAAAAACTTAAGCCACATATTAATTATACTCCTTCAACCGAAAAAACAAACTATATCATAAAGGATGAGTCATGTAAGTTTAAGGTGAGTCATATATTGTGTTGGAACTAAATGAACAATACACTTCATCCATACACTTGTACGTGTAGGAGGATAGATATAGGTGTCAAACTTAGTTTTATCTTGAAGCTTAGACTCCTGATGGCCAAAGCTTATACCACATAAAGTCAAAATAGCTAGCTATGAAGTGGAGCTTTTGGTATCACACACGTAGAATAAAAGCTAGGTATTTTGGATGCAGGGATGGGTTCTCATTGGGCTTGGACTGCTGGGATTTTTGTGGACTTTTGATGAATGAGTCGGGGCCTGTCCCGTGACATTTTTGGATTGTGTTTTGTGATGTCTTTTGGACTTCTAAAAAATTCTCTCTCCTTCCCCCGCCGCATGGTGGGGGTGGGATATGGTAGATACTATTTTAGGTTAGCTTGCTAGCTTAGATAGTTCTTTTTGACAATTTTGATGCATTGTATTATGTTATTTTTCTGGATATATATATTTACATTTTATCTTAAAATAAAAATCTAGGTTCATCTCCTTGCAATTTCAAGGACAATGACACTTAAGCACTATATATATGTGTGATCAGAATTGCTCCTTGTTCTCACAAAAACATATCCTGGCCAACCAATACTACTTACAATGTGGGAAGGGAAGAAACAAGCTGGGAAATTAAAGTAGGCATTTTGAATCAATATAATACTATTAAGATTTCTGATATAAGGTCAGTACTTTTTCGCCCAGTTTATTTTAATGTGTAGTTTAATATTATGTAAATTTTCCGTCCCCGTTTTCTGTTATGTTATGGGGATGATAGACGTTATATAACCTTAGAATTATTTTTGGTATGCCTAAAATGTGTGTTCTCAATATATATATTCCGTAGGAATTATTGATTAATGAAAATATAATTGAGCCATTATATTTCGTACAAGTATTAAAATATCGTTGGACAGAACTTAGAAAATTTACAAAGATAAATTCAAATGAAAAGAGAGTAAAACGGCGAGGAATATAATATTTTATAACATGCCTGCATGCATTATTTCGTATATGTACTCTTATATTAATCATTAATTAAAAACTATTAAAAAGTCAATATAACATGCATGATATAAATATACAGAGATACGTATATACATATACATGTGAAATATGTACGTAAGTATTTATATAGTATACTGGTAACATGCATGCTTCATTAATAATAAGTATGAAATAAATTTATACACCTAGAAAACGTATATGTAGTTATGTACTTACTAGTTGATGTATATATTCTGCATAATATATACATGTAAGGCATTTATGTGTCACTTATTTATACTCATATTATCAGCTAAGATATACTTATGGAAATACTTTAAGTAGTTATGCGGTAGAACTATTAATAATTTATAAAGAGTTGATATTTATATATATGCTGATAAAGCTTGAAATATAACAATTGAAATAATTCCCGCCAAACACTTTCTTACTTAGTTCTCTGGAGTACTTTTCAATGAATAAATAATAAATATTTTAGAAAAGCCTTACTCTTGATGTGGCACTCTGACGTGGATACTTCTGTTCTGTTTAGTGTACTACGTACACTCTTGAAATTCTGTTTTAGAGAAATTAGTGTTCTCCTGTTGAGTGTACTCTGTACACTCCTGAAATCTTTTTAGAACACTATTACTCTTCTGTAAGGATCGGGTCTCTTCGGTGATCTCGTTCTTTCTGTTCAGCTAGCTTCTGTTAGGGATTGGTACGTGTAGCTGTCACGCCCCAGACCACATCTAAGCGCGTGTACAACTGCCGTATGACCAAGTGACGTCACCCGCAAGTCAACGTGACTTAATCATACAAGGCGTCTATGAACATAATCCATCCATACTCAGTAGTAAACATACATAACTGTTGGTCCCGGTTATACTGGATACAGTCTAGAGGGGGGGTGAATAGACTGTATTGGTTTTTAGCTTTTTAAACTAAGTACCAGATTTACAGAATAGCCTGTTCTGTTGAAAGAACAGACTGGCAGCGGATGGGGTTCTGGCAGGGAGTTCTGTTAGCCTCAGAGAAGCAAAGGCAGTAGGCCTTCTGTTAACTCGTAGAACGAGTTCTGCTGAACACAGATACCAAGTCCAAGGAGTTATACAGTTCTAACTAAGTGCAAGTATTAAAAGCAGTAAGTAAACGACACCACGGATTTTTATAGTGGTTCAAGGAACAACTCGTTCCTC